AAGGGCCCCAGGAGGTCGAGACCCCATCTAGCGAACGGCCACGGTCCTACTACGCTCTGCAACTCGGAACTCGGCTGGTGGTGCTTGGAAGCATGAACTTGGCATGCATGACATTTGAGGACGACGTCTGAGGCGTCTTTCTTGATGGTTGGCCAGTAGTAGCCTTGTAAGAGGATGGTTCTTTCCAGCGACCTTGGACCGGCATGCGTGGCACACGTTCCTTGGTGTATTGCCTTTAGGGCCCACTTGGCCTCCTCCACCCCGAGGCATTTTAAGTAAGCGCCGGAGAACGATCTCTTGAAGAGTTGGCCGTCAACCATCGAATACCGAGCCGCTTTTCGTTTGAGCGCCTTCCGTTCCAGCGGGTCTTGTGGGGTGACGTCGTGCTCCAGGTATTGGATCATAGGGGTTCGCCAGTCGGCGGTTTCTTCGATGCTCATGACCTCTTCTGCGGACTCACTTTCCTTGGTGACGGTGACATGTCGGTCGCCTTCGAAATCCATGGCGGTTGCGAGCTTGGAAAGTGCGTCTGCATGTTGGTTGTCTTCTCTCCGGACATGCTCTAGTTTCCACGAATTCAGCTGAGACAGGGCGTCCCGTACTCTGACAGCTAACGCCGCTAGAATCTCATCTTTGATTTCGAACGCCTCTAGAACTTGTTTGACGACCAGGAGGGAGTCGGAGAATATTTGCACGTCAGTTGCCCCTAGTGTGGACAGTATCCGAAGCCCATTGATTAGTGCCTCGTATTCAGCAACATTGTTGGTTTTGATTTCCTTGAACCTCAGAGAGATTTCGTGTACCACCCCTTCGGGAGATTCGATAACGATCCCTGCCCCAGAGGCGGTTTTTCCGGCGGCGCCATCCACGAACAGACGCCATATTTGATTGCGCTCCTCGGGAGGAGCGATCTCGAGAGAGAAGCCTTCAGCAATGAAATCGGCCAGGACTTGCCCCTTAATGGCGGGTCTAGGGGCGTATTCGATGTCGTATTCGCTCAGCTCGATTGCCCACTTGGTCAGTCGACCTGAGGCATCCATGCCCCTCATAATGCTTTTGAGCGGGAGGTGGGACAGCACCGTGACCGGGTGTTCTTGGAAATATGGTCTCAACTTTCTCGCTGCGGAGGCGACTGCTAGGACCGCCTTTTCGACTGGCAAATATCTTGTCTCGGCGGGAAGGAGCGCTTTGCTTACGTAATAAACAGGGCGGTCAGAGCCGTCTTGCGCTCTTCTCACCAAGACCGAACTCACAGCTTGCTCAGAGACCGCTAAGTAGAGGTAGAGCCGCTCTCCACTGATTGGGGCGCTCAAGACTGGCGGCTGACTGAGCTGGTCTGTCAACAGCTGAAAGGCCTTGTCGCACTCGGCGCCCCATTGGAGCTTCGATGCCGATTTCTTCAGCATTTGGAAGAAAGGAGAGCATTTGTCGGCTGACCGCGGAATGAACCTACCGAGTGCGGCCATCTTCCCATTGAACGCCTGGATTTCTTTGATAGTCCTTGGCGGTTTCAAGGCGCGTATGGCCTCGATTTGCTTTGGGTTGGCTTCTATCCCCCGCTTGGTGATCATAAACCCTAGGAACTTCCCTGCCTCGGCTCCGAAGACGCATTTAAGCGGGTTGAGCCTAAGATTCTTCTTCCTTAGCGTTTCAAAAGTTTCTCTCAGGTCGGAAAGGTGGTCGCTTGCTTTCTTGCTTTTGACTAGCACGTCGTCAACGTAGGCCTCCACATTCCGCCCCATTTGCTCTTTGAAGACCGTGTCCACCATCCGCTGATAGGTCGCCCCCGCATTCTTTAGTCCGAAGGGCATAACTACGTAGCAGAAGTTGCCCATGGGAGTCATGAAAGCGGTTAGTTCTTGATCCTCGTCCGCCATTCGGATCTGGTGGTACCCAGAGAACATGTCCAGGAAGCTGAGAGCTTCGTGGTTGGCGGTCCCGTCTATGAGCTGATCAATGCGGGGAAGAGGGTAAGCGTCCTTGGGACAGGCCGCATTGAGGCTAGTGAAGTCGATGCACATTCTCCAAGCGCCCCCGGCCTTGCGCACAAAGACCGGGTTTGAGAGCCAGGTGGGGTATTTCACCTCTCTGATGAACCCGGCCTTGAGGAGGCGTCGTATCTCCTCTTCCAGCGCCATTTGTTTTTCGACTGACAGATGCCTCCTTCGCTGCTGTATGGGACGCGCTTTGGCTTTGACCGAGAGGCGGTGCTCGGAGACCTTTCGGGGAACGCCGGGCATGTCTTCCGGTCCCCATGCGAAGAGGTCTTGGAACTCTCGGAGGAGTATGAGTAGTTTCTGGGCTTCTTCTTGGGCAAGGTGCGCGGAGATACGCACTGTCCTCTCTGGCCGCTCTGCGTCGAGGGCGACTGCCACATCTCCCTCGACCGCTTCCGGTCTTGGAACGTCGCCTCTAGTGTCGACGAGGTCAACTTCGAGGTGTTCGATGGTGGCTTGGTAGCATTCCCTGGCCTCCTTTAGGTTTCCTCGAACGCGCCCGGTCTGTCCTCCGCTTGGGAACTTAAGCATCTGGTGGCACGTGGATGCGACCGCCTCGAACGAAGCTAGGAAGCCGCGTCCGAGAATGGCGTTATATGCCGAAGGGCAGTCCGCCACATGAAACTCCACTGGCCTGGTCTTCGTGATTCCTCCTTCTCCTATGGTAACCTTGAGCGTGATTGAGCCGAGGACACGGACCTTGGTACCGGAGAATCCTACCAGATTGGTGGTGGACGGGTTGAGGTCTTGGACGCTCTTTTTCATCCCTTTGAGCGCTGAGTAGAATAGTATGTCCGCCGAGCTCCCATTATCGACCAGGGCTCTAGTGACTTTGAACTTGGCGGTTCGAAAGGAAATGACCAAGGGGTCCTCCGAGTTTTCCTCGTTGACCAATTCGGACGGCAAGAAGGCGACCTCGGTCGGTGCTCTCCGTTGTACGTTAAAACATTGGGCGATGCGGTTTCCCTCGGTCCTTGGGCGTTTCCGTCCTCCCGCTATTGTTATGACTTCCATCCCATCATCTTCATTCCGGGGGTCTCTGTAGGAAGGAGACAGCCTCGGGGAGGCGGCCTTGTTTCTAGAGCGGGACCTTGATCTTTCCTTCCTTGGGCGCCTCGCTTTGTCTTGCTCGGGACTCGGTGACTCCTCCCGCTCCTCTGCTGAGTGTTCTCGATGGGACCGCCTCATCTCCAGCTTGCTTCTTAGGTCTCCCGGGGCCAGGTGTCGGAGCGTGGCCTTGAACTCCCGGCACTCTGTGGTGTCATGGGTTGTGACTTGGTGCCAGTCGCACCACTTTTTTCCTTCTTGCGGCTCCTGGGCGGAAGACGTCTCGTGCTTTCTTCCGCTTTTTCTCCGGTCCCTTCCTTTGTCCCTGTCGGTGGAAAGGACGTCTCTTCTTCCTTCTCGGTCGGGGTATCTGTTCCGGTACGCCCTTCGATCCGGGGACCGCCTCCCTCTTCGGGAGTCCCCACGCTCTGAGGCGTCTCCGCGGGGACGGCCTGGCTGGCCTCGGTCGTCGTTAGCTAACGCTTCTTCCAACAAGATCGCTCGCCGCACCAATTGGTCTAAGTCAGACCAGGCCGCCAGGGCCGCCTCCTTTTTTATCAGTGTTCTTTTCAGCTCGAGACTGGTCGTCGAGATTCGGAGGTTTCCAGCGGCCACGACTGGTGAGATGCCGTCTATCTCGCAAGCTATCGCGTTCCAACGGTCGTAGAACTCAGCAAGCGACTCTTCCTTCCTTTGTCGGCAGCTTATGAGCGCCGAGACGGTTAGTTTTCGACGCCGTTGGGACGCGAATTTGGTGGAGAAGAGCATCGCAAACTGCTCAAAGTTTTCTATAATCCCCTCTGGAAGCGAGGTGTACCAAGTCCGGCATTGACCGCTGAAGGTGACAGGGAACGCCTTACACAGATCCGAGTCTGTGGCGTTGATGAGTTGCATTTTTAACATGAACGCACAAAGATGGTCGGCGGGATCTGACGTCTCACTATAGGTTGGTAGTCCCAGAGAGGAGAAGTTTGGGGGTACCGGAGTCTTGAAGAGTTCTCTTGATAGGGGGTTTTGTAGAACATTCGGGCTCTTGTGCTTCCCGAAGGTGGACCGCAAATGCTCCTCTAGAAAGTTGAGGTCTGGGTCATCGGCTTCTGGCCCTCCGCCTTCTGTCCGAGCAGGGCTGTCGAGGATAAGAGCGCCTTTCAGCTTATCGTCGCGCGCCTTTCCCTTCGAGCTCTCGGCGGGGTCGTCTCGAGTCTTCAGGAGTTGAAGAATTTGGGTAAGGCTGTCTTGCATGCTTGCGATTTGCATTCCTTGATTCTTGACCACCTCTTCCAGCTCGGGCTCATCTTCGACCCTCGGTGATAGGCCTCGGAGGGTGTTATTCTCGGTCATCCCCTTGAGGGGGGTTTCGAAGTCGTCTCCCATCTCGTTCGCCACAAAGTAGTAGGGCCCCACGGTGGGCGCCAAAATGTTTGTGCCTGGAATGTACCAGGCGGTTTTGTGAGACTCTACTGGCCTTGGGCGTCTTCGATGGTCGAGGGCGGTCTCCGAAACCCTGCAGAAAGGTCCTCAGGGGGTTCCTGGGACCTCCTCCGATGCCTAAGTTAGAGAGAGAAGTGAGGTATGAATAAATAAGAGAGAGAATGAAGTAGGTTGAAGTTACCATTAATGTGACCCGAGATGGGTATTTATACTAGTGAGGGTTGAGGATCAGGGCATTTAATGTCATGTCGGGCGGTCATAGACCGCCTGATCCCTGATCCTCTGAGACTGTCAGGTTCGTACTTCTGTCAGTCTTCGTACAAAATGTTCAGAGGTTGTCCTTCTTCTCCTGTCGGGCGGTTCCCTGAGGTCCCGTTGTGGGAGTGTCGGGCGTCCTTCCGGATCAGTTGTCCTGAGGCAGGCCGCCCTTTGTGTCCATTTGGGCTGGACTTGGTTGTCTGGTGGGCCTCTAGGCGAGTCATGGGCTTGGGGCCCGTAAGTCCTAACCGCTGTCCTAACAATTTTGTTAAAATATTAGGACCAAACAGAAAAAAAAAAAAAAAAAAAGGGTAGCATTCATCCCTACTACTGAGTCTCACCTATATCTACAGGCACATTAAAGAACTGATTTTACAAAGCATTCTGCAGACGGAAGGCCAAAAGAAAGAATCCTGGAACATTGACCAAAAAGATGGAGCCTAACACACTCGGGGGGGACCCAAAAAAGGAAAAACTAGCTGAAAGAAACGATTGAAATAACAAAACCCAACATATGCAACCTGTGACAGCTGATTTGCAAAGCTGCCTGCTGCTCAACAAACAGAGACGTCTGCGGGCAGGCACAACAAGCATTGTTAGAAGAAACAACACCTTCTGGATATCTCTTCAAGGAACTGTTGATGGATTTGCTCCTGGAAGATCAAAAGCACCAGAATGAGCCACTAAAGACCAAGAAATAAGCAGTAAGGGATTTATAAATGTCCATTGTTACTTAATCCACCATATCGCTTCTTCAAAAGCAAGGAAAATCCGTCAAAAGAGTTCATAAATGCCTGTTTGGATGAAGTTCATAACAGACTAACCGCTTGTCACATTGAGTGCTTTCACAAGCACCATAGATTTACATGGAAAGAAGCTAACTCGGCTTCAGAGCAGCCAAATTTGGAACTTAGATTTCAAGATCGTAAAATGACTATTACTAACACTAACAAAAGGAACGTTTTTTTCTTCTTCTAGATAAGGGTGATTAAGGTTTTTTTCATTATAAGTCAGCTTCAGACCAGACAGTTTTTGAACTTAGATTTCAAGACCATAATGACTACAACTACCACTAGACAAGAGGAACGTATTTGCCATAAGATTTCCAGGTGGCCTTTCGGAAAGAATAAGAGTAAAAAGGTTTGGGTAGGAAGGAAGCACACATAGTACTCAATTAACATCATCTTAGAAATTATACCAGTCCCAGAAACTCTGTTAACTACTCATAAAATCACGATACTAGCATAGAATATGGTACTAAGTACAGTGCTTCCAACTTTCACCTGGTGATATGAAGTGAAAAATCGAGCATTTCCACCTAAAACAAAAGAGGATACCAATGCATGCGTAGAAACCACGGCATATGTCAATGTTTAGACAAAGGGTCAGACGTAGATTGACTGCCTAAGCAATCATTACCACGACAAGTCCGAACATCCTAGAAAAGTGCTAGAGTTAAGTTTGGTGGAAGCAAGAATTTTCTTGACAGAACTCATACTACTTAGCACTAATAAAGCAACTGAACCTATGGTACAACGGGATGACAATGGCTAAACTACATGAACAAACCAACAAAGGTACACTGAAAAGAAAGTCCATCTTGCTAAGTGATTGACATTTATAAATCTTAGGCACACAAGAAATAGCGAAAGCTACCTACCAATATTACATACCTTTTCTCTTGCTGGAGCCAGGGAAACTTCCATTTCCAGCAACGGTATTTCCGACACCACAGAGTGAAAAATCCTTGATCCCAGAGGTTTGATTCACCATACACTGAAGATTCTCAAAGTCACAACCAGTGTAGACTTGTCCATTTACAGACACACCTTCCGCTGCGCTTTTCCCATCATCCATCCCAGGATGCAAGCAATAGGCTTGATCATTACTCTGCATGTTACAAGGGTTCACCACATAAGCACCGTGCCCACTTGGATTGGTCAAATTCAAGTTAGCAGCAGCCGCAGGTTTCTGATAGGGGAAAGATCCAATCTCCCCTTCGATCCTTCCACGAATATCAACAAGCAAACACTTGAGCCTTGCAATCTCTGCCTCCAAAGCAGCCTGCCCTTGTAGCCTCTTCATTAGCTGCTGGTTCAAAGCCCTCAATTTCACAACTTCATCCTCCAAAGACGCAGCCCTCGCCTTCTTCTTCTCCCTATACTTCCTCACTGCCTCCCTGTTACCTATTGGCCGCTTCTTTGACTTCTTATCCACAGATTCCGCATTGTCATCGCTGTCAAGCTTATCGTCTGAAGAAGCCGAGACAATTTTCGTATGCACATGGAAGCAAGTATGAGTGTGGGAATAATCGGGACCGGGGGGATTGCAAGTGTGCGTGTGAGTACACGCATGAGCGTCTTTCAGCAACTCGTCGAAGAAACTGTCCATCGAGCCGCTGGTTGGAATCTCCGGCATGTTTGTGCTGGAAAACACTTCCTGGTGCGAGAAATCAACCTCGCCGTCGTCCATGGCGGAAGATGAACGCCCTGGGGACAACTTCGATTGCCGAACCCAGATTGTAACTATTCAAATGGTCTAGAAAACCCCTAAAGCCAAAAAGCGCAGAAACCAGACCGATTTTCTACAAATGGATGAGAACCCAGATGGGGGATTTGCATGAGAACAAACGGGATTACCTCCGGAGTCGTCGATTGCTCGAATTCTTCAGCGAATTCGAGGGTTTTACAGGGGATGAAACACATAAGGAATCACCGGAGAGATGACTCATAATCACTTAATCAGACCCAGATCAGTGGAGATCAATGAAACCCTAGAGATTCAAGGACGAAATTTCCCCGCAAAAGAAAGGAGGGAGACTACTGGGAACTTGCGAAATTGGGTAGGGGAAGAGCATGCGAAATTGGACCAGACACCATTTAGTTTGGGTGCCACCGTAACTCCTGAAGATTCGTCGAGCCAGAGGCGGGTAAATTGCAAAGGTTGGTCACTGGAAGTGATAAAAAATTCACATTTGGTCACTAAAAGAATTTTAGTCCATTCGTAATCACCGAAAGTGGTTAATATTTCATGTTAGGTCACTCTCCGTTAACACTGTCAATGTTTTGCTGACGTGGCTAACAAAATTCCTAATCAGCCAAATTTAACTCGCCGCGTCATAAGACCCGACCGCCACATCAGCCCCACTACATAACCCAAATCCAATTCAACCCTCTAACCGACCCAACCGATCTTACACCAACCGCTTCTTCTCCTGCTTCGTCCCCATCTCTGAAACTCGTCTCTCCGACTCTCCCCCACCTGCGCCATCAACTCCACTGCCGTCACCTTCAGCCTCGCCAACAATGGCCTCCATGTCTCATCTGCCTTCCAGATCGACCAGCAACCTACCTTTGGAACTCCGCTGATCTATTGCTGCGATTCTGGCTCTCCGTTGTCCCAGCTCCTCCCCAAGACAATAATTGACATCCTCTTCTCTAACATATGAGCCGAACACCACTCTCCGTCCTCTCCATTCCAAAATACAATAACCAGATTTGCCTCTCTCTCTCTCTCTCTCTCTCTATCTATCTATCTCCCGAACGGCGGCAACTAACAAATTTGCCCACAACGATCAAACCCACAACCCAAATTAATCTAAAGGAAAGAAAGGTGTGCAAATTAATTCGAATAAAGAGAGAAGCAATCGCTCATCTGCTGACCAGAAGAAAAAGAGAGAGTCAGGGTCGTAGAGAGAGTTCGATCATAGATAGAGAGAGGTAGGACCTTTGGCATTCATTGAACCAAGATTTTAATTAGAATCTCATAATAATTTCCTTTCCTTCTTTTTCTGGCGATGAGCTGGAAGGAAGGACCTTCCTGAGTTTTTGGTGCTATCATTATTCTTTTCTTCCTTCAATGATGAAAGATGGATTCGTTGCATCTGTTAAGAAGAAGCGGTGACGCCGTCAATCGTCGTTGCACAATATCCGGCTGCAGGGCGGATGAGATATGAAGGTTGCTGTTGGCGATACCGAAGGTGATGGCGGAGGAGTTGATCGCACAGGTGGGGGAGAGATGAGTCTCAGAGATAGCAACGATTGACGAAGGAGGAGCGGGACGGCGTTGAAGAGGCAGCCGGTGTAAGAATGGTTGGGTCGGGTCAGGGGTTGAATTGGGTTTGGGTTTTGTAGTGGGCCTGATGTGGCGGGTTAGGTTTTTTGACATGGCCAGTTAAATTTGGCTTATTAGGCACTTTCTGTTAGCCATGTTAGCAAAATACTAACGGTGTTAATGGAGATTAACGGAAACTAACAGAGAGTGACCAAACGTGAAACGTTAACCACTTTCAATGACTACAAATAGAATAAAATTCTTTTAGTGACCAAACGTGAATTTTTTAACACTTCCAGTGATGAATCTTGCAATTTACCCAGCCAGAGGCGGACATTGAAAGTTAAAAAGGTTAATTTAGTCAATCGCTGCCAATTTATAGGTACTCTTGGGCCTTGGCATTCACTTGCAAAATGAGTCCATGATCATCACTTATTAGTTATCATCGGGTGGAATGCCGGCCTGTTAAATTTGGTATGGTTGGTATCGGCCATAAAATCGATTGAAATTAGAGGTGACAATTCTCAATCCAATCCACCAACCCATTAAAAATATCCACCTAATCCAATCCATTTGATCCAAATCCAATTGGATTGGTTGATTCATGGATGAATCCAAATGGCAAATTATGGTTTGGTACCTATACTTTTTATATTTTACATTTTGGTACACAAAATTTAATTTTTTATACGAAAAATATCATTGGAAAATTACATTTTGGCGCCTAAAGTTTTTCATTATGACATTTTAGCACCTAAACTTTTCACATTTTACATATTGTCCTTGGTTGAGGATGTCATTTGGATTCATGGATAATCCACCATTCCACTTGATCCAATCCATGAATCCACCAATCCATTTGATCCATGGATCTACCAATCCAATCCATCAATCCATGGATCAATCCATTTGCCACCTCTAATTGAAATATTATTGGTGTGATTAACATTATTGATATTTGACCTTTAAATAAAATCATTGCATTTTATTTTTTATTATAGTGACAACATGGGCTAAGATCTAGTGACTAGGGGGGTCCCTTAGTCACACGGCTAAGTGAATCTCATCCACTCAACCTCATTAAAATACAAGGGCTCCAATTAATTGAATTTAATGAAGGACAATGTGGTAATTACATGAGTTATTAATTTTCAATTATTAATTAATTAAAAACTCTATTTTTTGTTGCGTTACGTCTCTTCCCGGCGGTACTAGACGGTGGATTTCTTGTTGTACCTCTTCCGGTCGGATATTTTCTCGGCGTCTCCTTTTCCAGCGTTATCAGGCGGCTTCCATGGAGTTTCCCCAGAGAGAGAGGCGGACCACTTGCCTGCGAATTATATTCCCCTCCCCTTCCATGGCGTTGCCAGAGAGAGACTTGCCTGGGGAATCTCCCCTTCCATGTAGAGAGAGAGAGATTTATGATGTTTGCTGACCTATTTTGTAATGTTTGTATGGATTCGGTTTGTATTGTTTATCATTCTTGTTTGTCATTTTTAGTGACATCTTGTAGGGTTAGTATGCTTTGTACTGTTTGTCGGTTTATTTTGTAAGGTTTGTACGCTTTGTTATTTTGTAATGTTTGTCGGTTTTTTGTAACGTTTGTAAGCTTTGTGCACCACGTTTATTATTTTTGTCAACCATGTTTGTAATGTTTTTTATGTCTAAAAAACAACCTGGTTGACTTTTGGATAGAACTCCTCTATATAGGGATGGAGCCTCCAAAGTCAACCCTGGTGTTTTTTCCAGTTTATATGGATTGTCGGTCTAGTTTGTCATTTTTGTCCACCATGTTCGTAATGTTTGTATGTCTAAAAAACAACCGGGTTGACTTTGGGACGGAGCCTCCAAAGTCAACCCGGTTGTTTTTCTTTTTTGTATGGTTTGTATTGTTTGTCGGTCTAGTTTGTATTGTTTGTACGGTTCATACGTTTGTAATGTTTGTAAATCTATTTGTATGTTTTGTCGTTGTAATTTGTATGGTTTGTATCCATAATACCCAAACTATCCCGTCATTAATTAAATAGCCCTTCCCACTTTCTAACCGTCAGATTGTTGTGTCCAGATCTAAGGGCTGGAAGGGGCTTAGTCAATTGACTAAGCACCCCCTAGTCACAGGATCCGAACTCGTGACAACATTACTACACAGCCAATAGGAATACAGGATTCTACTGACTTTTTAATTACATAAGTTGACTCAAGTTTTACCGTGTAAATATCAAACAAGGGCAATTTTGTCATTTAGAAAAGTGAAATCTCAAGAAAACAACTTGTTCTCTCTCCCCATCTCTCCGATCCCACCCTTACCACCGAGCGCCGGCCGTCAAACTCCTCCACCATCTATCACCGTTTCTCTCTCCCCCATGTCTCAGCCGCCGCAGTCGGATCCATTCCTCGACGGACCTTTCTCCCCCATTGACAACCATCTCATCAATTGCGACTCCGCCATGAACCTTCGCATGTTCATTTCTAGTTTCCATTCCAATCTAGGCACCCCGATGCTCCGCTCCGCTCTCACGATGGCGGCTTTGAATGGATTCCCCCATTCTAGCTCGCTCCTAATCTATTAATGGATACCGAAAATCACATGTACGCCTCCATTTCAACCTCTTTTGTCATGCATGAACCGTCGCGCCTCCAGCCATCCGGACGCATCTGCTTCAGTCGCTGCCGTCCGTATCATAATCGATTCCATCCTCTGACTTTGTCTATCGCTTCTCCATTGTCTGTCTGTATCCATCAAGCCGATTGTTGATTTTGCATGAGTTGGGAGTTGGGACGTGGAGAAGTTGGAGAGAATCAGCCAAAGATGAAAGATGGAAGGGAATAGAATCAAAGGGAAAGGAGATGGAAGTTTTTGTGTGCAGGATCTTCAAAATCATATTGGAGGAATAGCTCGAAACAACAGCACCAGGGCACCGGGAACTCTACCTGCCAGCACCATTCCCAAACCTCGCGAGCCTCAGAAGCAGCTGGATGCTACCACTACTAGAAGTGGCAAGATGACGTCTGTTTTGCTTGCTCCGGCCAGGCAGGAGGAACCAACACCTGCTTCAGCACTTCTAGCTGAAGATGAAGAGGTGGGGACAGAGAAGGAAGCACCTGCTCCCAAGCCACAACCATTGGTTAAGGAGCACGTTCCCCAGCTTCCTTTCCCTACTAGTATACACAAGGAAAACCTGGAGACTTAGTTTGCCAAGTTCATGGCATGTTGAAGCAAGTCAACATCAGCATGCTGTTCATGGAGGCATTGTCGAAGATGTCCAAGTACGCAAAATTCATGAAGGATCTCATCACTAACAAAAAGAAACTTGGGGATCTCTCGACAGTGATGTTGAGTGAGGAGTGTTCTGCAATCCTGCAGAACAAGCTACCCGAGAAGCGCAAAGACCTAGTACTATCCCTCTTGTTCTTGGCAACATGCATGTAGGAAAGTCCTTGGCGGATCTAGGCGCTAGCATCAATGTCATGCCTTATAAAATGTTTAAGAAGCTAGGCCTAGGTGAACGTAGAACCACTAGGATGAGTATTCAGTTAGCTTATTGGTCGATTGTGCATCCTAGGGGTATCATAGAAGACTTGCTTGTTAATGTGGGTGCATTCACATATCCTGTTGACTTTGCTATTCTGGATATAAATGAAGATGTGGATGTGCCTTTGATCTTGGGTAGACCCTTTCTCTCCACCGCCAAGGCGTTGATTAATGTGCCTAGTGGCAAGTTGATTTTGCGTGCTGGGGATGAACAAGCTACATTTTCTGTGTCTGATAATGTGAAACATTCGCATATGCATGATGACTTGGAATACTGTGACATGCT